AGAAACATGAAAGCGACTGCCGCCCCCTGATCATAAGCACTAATGGTGTAATGGGGGACTGGAAGGTCAGTGATTGTTTTTGTGTGTGTGTGTGTGTGTGTGTGTGTGTGTGTGTGTGTGTGTGTGTGTGTGTGTGTGTGTGTGTGTGTGTGTGTGTGTGTGTGTATGTGTGAGAACAGGCTACTGGAACTTTCTGGAACACAAACTAACAGCATAGCTAAGCCTGGTATTACTGTAAGACAAATACCAGGTCAGGTGTCACGGCTGCAGAACTCACATGTGCTGCAGCCGTGACATCCACTCAAAAAACAAAATCATCTCCCACCAGTTCTTTCTTTAATATATGTGTGTGATTCCCACCCCCCGTGTCACACACACACACAGACACACACACACACACACACACACAGTTTGCTGGCACGCTCAGGCTACTCTTAGTGTCCCGTCTCGGATATCTGCGTCCATATGCAAGCCTCACATTTCAGCAGTCATCACTTTTGCTGCATGACAGAAGCAGGATCAGGGCAAAGTCACATTCTGAACCTGACCGTGACTACAGTATGTGCCCACTTAATCTCCAGCCTCCCTCACACACCCTGTACCTGTTTCAGGAGACATTATGGGATGTGATGAAGGCCTGTTGATGCAAACAACAACCCCATGTTAACCGAGGAAACGTGGGTCTTTTTGGATGAAAATGCAAGGTTATAACTAATTCAGATAGATGAATAATCAAAATAATGCAGAAAATGCAGAGGGAAGTTTCATAACACTCAAAACTTTTTTAAGTGAATTATCATCATGTTTAATTCATGTTTACATACTTTTGTAGCTTTAGTTGTTGTTTTATTTGATTGTTGTGTAATTGGTTAGTTTTTCTGCTCCTGTGGATTTGATGCAGTCTCGATTGTAAACAAAATGAAAACATGGTAAATAAATGAACACAAACTGGACTTTGTAAGGTTCATGAAGAAGGGCAGAGTACATGCCTCTTTCTCTCCCCTCCCTCTCTCTCATTCTTTCTTGAATCCAGATTTATGGGCTCGCAAAATGTCTCTGTCATGTCCAATCAGCACCTGCTGTCGCGCATCACAGCTCGTGGAGATAGTCTGAAACACAGGCGCCCCCTAAAGGCTTCGAAGCGCAAATCATCTCTTCATGACTAAACCAGTGGAAATCTGACAAGTCATCTCAGGTCTTTATCATAAATAAAATCATATTGTCATCCTACCCCTCTTATTGTGAAACCATGGATCATGAGACGATGGACCCCTGCACAGTCATAGCCTGTCTTTCTAAAAACATTGCACGGTGGTTAGATATCCAATAAAATCCTCTGATATGTTGCTTGTTCTCTCAGACAAGTATTGTGACCATGGATTGAGACAATTCAAAAGGCCTATACAAACCTTCATAGAAGCAAGACACAAACATTTAGCCTCTTTTTGTTGCTTTTTTGGTCATTTTTAAAGACCATTTGTGTATATGTGTGGTAATTTTGTGTCTAGTTGTATTTGTTTTGGTCTTTTGCCATTGTTATTCTTTGGAGATATTTAAATAGATGCCCACTAATAACACCCTCTGATTTGCATGTTGTTTGTTCTCTCTGTTGTAAAGGTAAGATATGTTGTATCCTTGGAGAAAACTCACACACTAATAACTAAGAAAAATATAAAGTAAATGTAACTTTCATATTGACGTTTTTTTGCAACGAACACGACCTGAATTAAAAGGGACCGTTCATCTCTGCGATTGAAATCCCTACGGAGGACATTTATAGCGGACCTGGTGCTCACCTAAAGTAGTTCCGGGTATAAACAGCCTGGTGGCTAACGTTAGCTGAACCGCAATCCTCTCCTGCTTATTCTTCTACTAAATTGGTGAGAAATGGTGTTGTGTTTGTGATTACAAGTTGTTATGTGTTGTTGTGTCTCTGACTTAATATCCCATATCAATGTAATGTCCTTAATAAAGGAATTAAAGTCCTTTTTGTGAGGCGTTAGCATGTTAGCAACAGATAGCTAACGCCGAAAAACATTTTCAACGGAAAAGAAAAGAGCAGATTTAAATGTCATTTGAATGAATTGAGCAGAACAGTTAGCAGCTTTGTGAAATGTATTCTAACTAAAGCCATGTTACACTATTGTAGTGTTTTATTGTATTAGATGTAGCTGTCTCTGGTACAGGGTGACTGTCACATATTCACTAAAACAACAGGCCTAGCTAACTGTGAGCAGAAACCTTAATTATTATTAAATAACATGTGTTTTCTCTGCATTAAAGTCCTTTATGTGTATTTGTTGGTGTTGTTCTTATGTGATGTGTTGTCTCCTTTCAGGGTAAACAATAATCCCGGAGCAGGATGGGTGAGTTCCTCTGATTTAAGTAAAAGCACAAAAGTATTATCAGAAAATGTACTCTTAAGTATAAAAAGTAAAAGTACTCATTGTGCAGAAAAATGTATTTAATCTGTGTATATAATATTTATCTATGTTACAATTCTAGATAATATTGTTGCATAGACAAGAAAAGTTCTGATTTACTTTCTGTAGAATATTGACATTATTTCAATCGTTTGTGATTTAAAGAGTTTTTTATTTTTACAGATACATTTTGTTAAAAGTAGCTAAAGCTCTTTAATACATGTAGAAGTATAAAGTAGCATTAAATGGAAAAGTACAAGTACCTCAAAATTGTACTTAAAGAGCAACTTCCAGGTTAAAGACACCTGTGAATAAATGTGTAGGAAAATGATGTATACACTAGATTTTCCCAAAAATATACACTACAGTGACATCTGGTGTCGTTTTTGTAAGAAAGGTTTACTTCCGCATAAAAAAGCCTCGGCACGTGACCTCCCGCGTGTGANAACATTATAAAGTTAGTAATCATATATCAGGCTATAACTAACGTATGATTGATAATATAGTAACGTTACTGGCAGGACTGTTGATACTGATCCATAACAGAAACTAATGCGCAAGTATCAGCCGTATCTCGCGTTACCTAATGCAACTCCACACTACGGTGCTGTGTACCGGAGGGGAGAGAGAGAGAGGAGCGAAGGGGAGAGAGAGAGAGGAGCGAAGGGGGGGAGAGAGAGGAGCGAAGGGGGGAGAGAGATGTAATACGGTTTCCTGATAAACGTTTTGTTTGATAGGCCTCAGCTGTGGAGAGTATGTGAATTGAGAGTAGGCCTATGTGCTGCAGGGAGGTGGATGCACAACGCACCCAGGAACGAAAGCTAGCTCCGGTCCTTTTCCCGTGAGGGAAACTTTGGACTCGATGTCCTGACAGGCTGGAGTTTGTGCAACCTGCAAAATACAATGTAAAACTACCAAAAAAATACCAGCTCACTAAATCACAACCGCTCAAACCAACTACAAACTACTACCGCGGATTGGGCAGAGAAGGAGTCAGAGGCTGCAGTTGAATATTCCATTTAGCTTAGGAACCTTCCTAACGGAGTGAAATTACCCGGAAGTCCCTCAGTGGCAGCCATGATAAGAGCCGTTCCAATTCTCTAGAGCAGGGGTATTCAACTAAAGTTCAACGAGGTCCAGTTAGAGAAAATATCCCCATGCAAAGGTACGGAGCTTCAAAATGTCCCTCGTTGAACTTTAGTTGAATACCCCTGCTCTAGAGAATTGGAACGGCTNGTGTGCCTTGGCAGTCTCAGTTGTCAGGTTTTTTTTACTACATTTATGCTTAACCGTGCCTGAAAATTACAATTCAAAATGTTAATGCAGGATTTGATATGTTTTACAAGACATAAGGGCAGAAATTCAGAGGAAAAGGAGCCGTTTTGAGCTCTGCTACTAAAAACTGCTTTTTTTAACGTCAAACGTGTCATATTACGTCACATGGGGGAGTTAACTTTCTCGGACTCCTTCTCTGCCCAATCCGCGGTAGTAGTTTGTAGTTGGTTTGAGCGGTTGTGTTTTAGTGAGCTGGTATTTTTTCGGTAATTTTACATTGCATTTCACCATTTGTAATCATGGTGAGCTTGTGTTTGTGCAGGTTGCACAAACTCAAGCCTGTCAGGGCATCGAGTCCAAAGTTTCCCTCACGGGAAAAGGACCGGAGCTAGCGTTCGTTCCTGGGTGCGTTGTGCATCCACCTCCCTGCAGCACATACTCCGTCTCCACAGCTCCTGGTCTCTTGGACGCCTAGCAGGCTCATAATTATAATCATATGCATTCGAATATATATTTT